AGTAGCTGGGACTATAGGAGTAGCTGGGACTACAGGAGTAGCTGGGGTGACAGGAGTAGCTGGGACTACAGGAGTAGCTGGGTCTATAGGAGTAGCTGGGACTACAGGCATGCGACCCCATGCCCGGCTAATTTTTTCTCTATATTTTTACTTGTCCAGCTAATTTCTTTCTATTTTTAGTGGAGACGGGGTCTCGCTGTGTTGTCCAGGCTGGTCTCGAACTCCTGACCTCGAGCGATCCTCCCGCCTCGGCCTCCCAGAGTGCCGGGATCACAGGCGGGAGCCACCACGCCCGGCCACATTTACCTTTCAAAGGGAACTTTACTCACACACATGACTGTCCCCCAACGAGATTCTCAGCTGGGCGGGGAGCTGCGCAGCCCACACCCCTGTCGGGGGGTTGTTGCTCCCATTTTACAGATGAGGAAAACTGAGACTCGGAGGAAACCAGCAGAGCCACACATCTGAGGAGTCTCCTCCTCCCGGGAGCCTTCCCCACCTCCTGGGAACAGGTTGGGGGACACGTCAGTTCTCTGCAGACGCTAAGCCGAAGCCCCGTGAGCACTGGCGGTACAGGGGGACCCTCGGTTCTGTGCCCAAGGCCTGGGGACTTCGAGGAGCCCTCCCGCCTCTGGAGATAGGCCCCGCAGCTGCCCCTCGGGGATAAGCCGGGCTATTTCCGTCACTTCCTTCCTCCCCGTCCGGTGGCAGCCACCAAAGCGCCCTCTGCTGAGTCGCCGCCACGGCCACGAGCAGGACGGTTGAGGCCACAGAGAGGGGACATCCTGACCGAAGGCCTCGCCGGTGAGTGGCCCCCGTTGTGATCCAGGCGGTCCCCTGCCAGGTGGAGCGAGGAGGCCAGCTTCTGTCCCCTGTACAAGACGGGGTGGGACAAGGGGATCGACTCCTTTGCTCCCCAAATATTCCTTGGAAGCCTGCTTGGGGGTGGGGTGGCGGGCCGAGGCGGGGACAGCGCTGGCTGGCGGGGCAAACAGCCCCCCCGAGTCCTGGATGACAGAAAACTGGCTCGTGAGACCCGAGCGTCAGTCCGATCTCGTTCGCAGATGCTGGGTGACCCTGAGCAGAGCGCTTTCCCTCTCTGGGCCTCGATTCTCCAACTGCACGCGTTGGCCTACGAGAGTGGCTTCTGGGGTTCCTTCCCTGCTCCCGGCTGGGGTCCCCACCCCGCTGTTTTCCCTTAGCTGGGACCAAGCTGCTGGGAGCTGGTCCGACTAGTTGGGGTCCAACGTCTACGCCATCGGCCTGGTGCCAGCCTTAGCTCGGGGGACTGGGCGCAGCCTGTTGGAGGTGCCCCCCCTGCAAGGCCCTTTCCTGGTCTCTGGGGACTCGGGCCTCTGCCCTTCCTCGAAACATACGATGTCCCTCCACCAAAGCCCCCCCTGTCACCGTCCTGCCCTCCGCCGTGTCTGGGGAGGGTCACCCAGGCCAGGGCTGGCCACGCTTTCCCCGTCCTCAGTCGCGAGCCCATTTCACAGAGGGGGAAAACTGAGGCCTGAGAAGCACCATGAGAGCCCCTCGCCCCAGCCCTGGGGACAGGCTGCGGGTCACCAGGCCCTGCCCCTCACGGCCACTCTCTCTGCAGCCAGCCAGCCCGATGCCCGCCTGGGGGGCCCTGCTTTTGCTCTGGGCCGCTGCAGAGGCCACCAACGACTGTCCCGCGCCATGCAGGTGCCAGGCCCTGGAGACCATGGGGCTGCTGGTGGACTGCAGGGGACAGGAGCTTGAGGCCCTGCCCGCCCTGCCAGCCCACACGCGCCACCTCCTCCTGGCCAACAACAGCCTGCGCTCTGTGTCCCCGGGGGCCTTCGACCACCTGCCCGGGCTGCAGACGCTCGAGGTGACCCACAACCCCTGGCACTGCGACTGCACCCTCACCTACCTGCGGCTCTGGCTGGGGGACCACGCGCCCGAGGCCCTGCTGCACGTCCGCTGTGCCAGCCCCGATGTCGCCAGCCACCGTCCCCTGGGCCAGCTCACCGGGTACGAGCTGGGCAGCTGCGGGTGGCAGCTCAGGGCCCCCTGGGCCCACCCGGGGCTCTGGTGGGACCTGGCGCTGGTGGCTGTCGCCATGCTGGGCCTGGCCCTCCTGACTGG